TAGAGTGCAAAGGAGATTTTGACCACATCAAAAATCAATGGTCGTGTTTATTTTGTCTTGAGAACAATTTGGAATCTCGCGTGTGTCGGTCTTTTGCTGAAACATTTATTATTAATTTTGGTGCGTCCAAAATTGAAAGGCACTGTTTCGAAATTTTTACATAGAAAACAGACCGCCACATTTTCTATTCTAACCTTCGATCTTGCGTCTGTCTTGATCCAAGATTCGAAATATATATGGCGGGAGGTCATTTACATCCAATTCAGTGTGTTTCCTACTGTCACCGTTTCTGAACTGACTGAACAACCCTTGCCCACACAATCGGTTCACAAATTTCAAAACAAACTGAATTGAAAGATGGTCAAACTTCATCTATCCCTTGCTGCTGCCTTTGCAGCATTTACGCTCACCACTGCGGAGAAAGCTCCCGGTGATATTATTGAAATGAAAATGGCGACCACTGGACAAACGGATCAGATACGCATTCTCACCAAACCCAGACCAGGCTACACCCCCGCGGCCGATGCTCCAAGCGTTTGGAATATGAAGGATGGCTGTGAGGATGTGAGCTCAGTCGATTTCATCTTTTCTCCTGTGGATGACGAATCCAAGTGCTGCAAGCTTGAGTCGCTCGATGGGTTCAACCTCTGGCCAGAACAACAAGGTTACACTATCCCTGGCGGAGCCAACATTGTTGCCCAAGAACAGTTCGCTCTCGACAATGGTTGCTTCGAGAGAAACCGTGGATCAGGTGGCTCGTACACCCTTCAATCAGGCGAAACGTACAATTCCTACATGGCCCAATTTTTGTCTCACGACCAATCGACGGTATTCTTTGACAATGTTGTGGAGTTCCACAAGTATGTATCCTACTGCTGTATTGATTTGCTTTGATACTCCAGTTTCTCACACTTTCGTTTGCAGCCAAGACATTGTTGCCATTATTCACGACACCGACAAACTGAAGGAATCTGATCAATTATTCGCGCTTGGGGGGCAATCGACCTACAAAGATGTTCGCGATGATGAATGGAGGGGTTTTGAAGCCAACAGCCATCGATATGAATCCTTGCATGTCAATTGTCTTGCTCGACCAAGCCCTGGATCTTGTCCCGTTACTCTATCCACTGCCGTTAGCGAAGGTCCGTCAACTTTTTTTGAGTTTCATCGTGTTATGAGGTCGTGCCGCACGTTCTCACAGTCGTTCATCATCTTTCAGTTGCCGTATCCAACGAATCTTGCGAGGGTAGAGGTTGGGGCGACCCGCACATGGTCACTTTCGACGGTAAGGAATCCATTCTTCTCAACCACCAACATCAACCTCGATCGTCATTCTCACACACCTGATTCGCTGTCTCAGGTCTTCGTTATGATGTGCATGTGAAGGGTGAACTAATCCTTGTGAAGTCATTGGACTCTGCCTTTGAGATCCAAGGTAGAACCGAAGCCGTCGAAAACCACAATGCAAGACCTGCTGTCACTACCGGCATCGTCGTCAACGAAGTCGGTGACAACCCAAGAATCCAAGTCTCTTTGGCACGCGACGCCAGTGACACGTACACTGAAGTACTTCGTGCCAGCGGTTGCCGTGGAGATCATTGCAACTGTCCTGTTCAGCTCTTTGTGGACGGCGTTGCCCGACCAGTATCGTCCGGATCTGGCAATACTATGGCATCTGTGGCAGTGACTGGCGGCAATAGAATCACTATCCAGTACCCCGAAACAAAAGTCAAGGTTACGATGGATGTCAGAAACTGGAGACAAACTTGCCACTTTTCCGTAACCTACACTTTGGCCGACTGTCGACCAAACGAGAATATCGTTGGTCTGGTTGGATCTCCAGACAACGAGTGGCGAAATGACTGGATGCAGCGCGATGGAACTCCAATTCCTATTCCTCCTTCTTTGAAAAAGGGAGCTGGATTCGAGCCAACTTATATCTACACTCGGGATAACTGGTGCGTGGACAAGGAGTCCGACTCTTACTTCGAGTATGAAGCCAACACCGATTTTGCATTCTTCGATGAGTGCGACAACCCGTAAGTGCTGAAAGCGAAACATTCTATTATGATTATTGCTTTGCATACTGACCTGACTGTTCACTTCATGGGTTTTTTGGACAGATATGATCCTTCCTTGGAGCAAGCTGTTGCCAATGCGGATGCTGCAGTTATTGAGGAATGCCAAGGGGATGTGTTTTGCATTGTCGACAGCATTGCTCTTGGTCCAGAGGCTGCGGAAGCGTATCTTGAAGATCCAGCTCTTAACCACACTCTTTCACAAACAGCTTCCACCGATATTGAAATTGTTCTTCAAGGTGAGTTCCTAACTCTCTCTTCGTTCGAGACGCCTCTCTTTTGTATATATTTGTTTTCTTACGCTTGCTGTCTACGCAGTTCCTGATGAGTCTCCCGATCCCAACTGTCCCGTTTGCAAGGCAAGAGGTTGGGGCGATCGTAAGTCAGCTTTGCAGGATACAGGATATTTTTGTGTGGCTTCGCTAGTACGTGTACTGACTGTCCGCTTTTCCTTTTTGCACTTTGCAGCGCACATTATTACTTTCGATGGAGTTACTTACGACGTCCACGTCAAGGGCGAGCTAACCTTCCTCAAGAGTTTGAGCACCGATTTTGCCATCCAAGCACGGACACAGATCGTCGCCAACCATCCAAAGGGACCCGCTGTGACTACTGCAGTGGTTGTCCACGAGGACAGTACCTTGGGACTCCCTGTCGTTCAGGTTTCACTAGGCAAGGACGAGGACAGCGAGCTTGCAACTATGATTGGACCATGTGCCGTGCAGCTTTTTGTAGATGAGGAAGCCAAGGACATTCGACTTGGAACTGGATCTTCTGATGTCACCGTGCAGGTCAAGAACAAGCGAATTGTTGTCGAATATGCTTCGACCAACTTGCGGTTGGACATGGATGTGAAGGTGTGGCGCGACACTTGCCATTTTTCTGTGAACTATTTCTTGGCCGATTGTCGCTGTGATGAGACTTTGGTTGGGATTCTCGGTCAGCCTGATGGAGACAGCTACAACGAATGGCACGATCACACTGGCAATGCTGTCGACATTCCATCCAACGGACGCAAGCGTCGCGGTATTGAAGCATACAACTATTCTATGACTTGGTGCATTTCTGAGGAAGATTCCCACTTCACCTACGAGTCTGGAATGAATCATGGCACGTTCGACAAGTGTACCTCGGACAAGTAAGTTTTTCAAACCACCTGTAATCCGGACATCTCCCGTGCTGCAGTACTAACGCATTAGTTTCCGATCACAGCTTTGATTTGGACATTGATGATCTGATCGAAAATGCTGATACGGACACAATTGACAAGTGTACCATCGACGGTGTCTTGGAGGAAGGTTGCGTGTTAGAATGTGAATTTTTGGGCGACGAGGCATGCGATGAGTACATTGTGATTATTCAAGAAACCGAGACAGTGGAAATCACTGACGAACCGACCTCAGGTCCCACACCAGTACCTACTTCTGGGCCAACTCGAGTCCCTACCTCAGGTCCCACACCCGTTCCTACTTCCGGACCAACTCCCGTCCCAACCCCAGTACCTACTTCTGGACCAACTCCCGTGCCTACCTCGGGTCCCACTCCAGTGCCCACTTCTGGACCAACTCCGGTACCAACTTTGGAAGGATCAAGCGGGCCAACTGTGGCAGCATCAAGCTCTCCTACGACACTCCCAACTCCAGGTCCCACTTCAGGACCTACCTCTGGACCAACAAAGGAACCAACTCCAGTACCCACATCTGGACCAACTCTGGTACCAACTTTGGAAGCATCAAGCGGACCAACTGTGGCAGCATCAAGCTCTCCTACGACACTCCCAACTCCAGGTCCCACTTCAGGACCTACCTCTGGACCAACAAAGGAACCAACTCCAGTACCCACATCTGGACCAACTCTGGTACCAACTTTGGAAGCATCAAGCGGACCAACTGTGGCAGCATCAAGCTCTCCTACGACACTCCCAACTCCAGGTCCCACTTCAGGACCTACCTCTGGACCAACAAAGGAACCAACTCCAGTACCCACATCTGGACCAACTCTGGTACCAACTTCGGAAGCATCAAGCGGACCAACCGTGACAGCATCAAGCTCTCCTACGACACTTCCAACTCCAGGTCCCACTTCAGAGCCGACCTCTGGACCAACTCCCGTGCCTACATCAGGTCCCACATCTGTTCCAACAAGCGCACCCACAAAGCAAAGCCAGCTTGGAACTGCCGCCAGTGATATCACCACGCCGGAAACGAATGTCACTAATCCTGATGAAATTCTTGAATCCGACTCTGGAAGCAGGGGTGACCCACACTGTAAGTCATCGTTGTGCGACATTGTTTCTTGCGAACTGTCTCGTTATACCTTTCAGCTAGCTGACTAGCCTTTTTTTTCTTGCATGCAGTCAAATCATGGGTCGGAGAACACTTTGAGTATCATGGGCAATGTGATTTGGTCCTTGCTAAGGATGCCAACTTTGCTGATGGCCTTGGATTGGATGTACAGATTCGCACCAAGCTTGTTCGCTTCTGGAGTTACATCAAGAGAGCCGCCATTCGAATTGGCGATGACATCCTTGAAGTGGAAGGTTCAGGCGACATGAGCGAGACAGATCCTCTCTATTGGTTCAATTTTGTTCACCAGCGACCTGTACAGACAGTAGGCGGCTTTCCAGTTCAAATCACCAAGGGAACCGGTCGCTCACACAGACACAAGTTTGAAATTGACTTGAGCAGCAAGTACCCTGGCCAGAAGATCGTCATTGCGACGATGAAGGAGTTCGTGCAGGTGGACTTTGTTAACGCCTCCGCCAAAGCTTTCGGCAATGCTGTTGGTATGTTGGGAGACTTCAAGACTGGAAAGACCTATGCTCGTGACCAAACTACTGTTATCAATGATTTTATCGAACTCGGAAACGAATGGCAGGTGTTGCCACAGGACAATATATTGTTTCAAGATGTGTCGGACCCCCAGTTCCCCAAGCGTTGCATCCTTCCAGAAGATCCGCGTGGAGACCGCCGCCGCCGTCTTGAAGAATCGACTATCACCATGGAGGAGGCTGAAGCGGCATGCTCCAAGGGTTTGAGCGATCCTTTGGACATCAAGGATTGCGTATATGATGTCTTGGCAACCCAAGATATGGATATGGTTGGGGCCTTCTAAGACTCAATTGGAAGCTCCTTTCCGATTTATAATGGCAGCCTGTTGCCATATTGCTTCATACTATACACGAAAGAAACGAACAAGCTAGAAAATATAATTACTTCCTTATCGACATATTGTGATTTTCCGAAGTCGTGTTATATTGATAGTGTTTTTTTTCTTTTTTTCCCCAAAACAAAAACACCATACCCCCGTAGTTCATGAGATAGCATCGTTCGTTCTCAATACCGCAGCAAACAAGACAAGAAAGGTGTCGATAGCTTCGTCTTTATCTGCTTGTTATTCTGATGTATGTAGTTTGTATGGATTTGGTGAAAAAGTCTTCATTTATGCCCCATAAGGGTCCATTTTCATCGTCGTTCCATAGTCATTGATCGATTGACAATGACGGTGCGGTCGATTCGCCTTTCGATGGCATCGCAACGGTGCCAATGTCATCTTTATGATATGAGTGAAGACTTGGCAAAGTGACTTTGTCGTTGTACTCGTGGTTGTGGTGTTGGAGCTGCTTGATGTTTCGGTATTTTCAACGCCGAATCTCACCTATTGTTTCGTTTCTCATGTTGCAGCATGCCAACGTATTCTCTGCCAGGGAGGAGCAAGGGCAATTGGCAACACAACGCCATCAAGAACGTGCTTACATTGAGGAGCAAGCTCATGTTCCAAGACGTTGCGGAGGATATGCAATTTCAGCAAAACTTGTACAACGTACTGCCATCCACAAGGCATTTGAATACTTTCAAGACGAAACCTGGGACTTTGGCTACAAATCGGGCAAACGAATAGACAGTGCAGCTCTCAAACGGAGTTTGAATGAAGTGAGAGATATAACTGGTTATGATGTTCCTTGGCGACAGTTTCGTGATTGGCTGACATACTATCTTCAGTTTGGCCATCTCCCATCTCGAAAGAAAGCTTGGAAGGGAGAGCAAGGCCGATCAAAGCGATTGTCGTTTACTGCAAATGATGATGAGTATCTACAAAGTACAATTGAAGAGCAATCTCAATTGCATCTGGATGAGATTGTGACGGAGATGACACTTTGGAAGCAAATCGGAAGCGAATGCGCGATCTTGGATATTCTTTGAAAATGGCGGTACATCGTGCCTGACAAGCTAGCGAGAATGAACAGACACTCTTCTACCAGCGACTCAATTAATCGGTGCCGGATCCTCAATAGATACTTCTCACTGACGAGACTCACAAAAGCCGTTATGCTAGGGGGGAAAAAAGGAATTGCAACTGTGATTCCTTCCTACTTTGAAGAAGACTTCCTACAACAATTCACTCGTATTGGTGTCGCCAACATATTTGGCTTCGTACCTGAAGCTTGTGAAATAGCTCACCAAAACGAACGCCTTGAGAATCGAGGCACTGTCGATACTGAAAGGTTTGAGCTGCGTTCATTGAACAGAAACTCGTCCCAATTCTAGGGAATTATGAAGAGAAGGAGCCTCATAGTGTTGTCATTTTGGATAACGCGACAATACACATGTCCAATCGAATTGAAGAGATATAAATGATGCAGGGGCCATACTGCTTTTCACAGCGCCGTATTTGCCAGACATGATCAAAATTGAATATTTCGTTTCAACTTACAAAATGGGCTCAGAACTCAAAAAAAGGTCAACGCTCCCTTTGATGCAATTCATCATGTCACACCTGAAGCTGCAATGGACACCTTATTCATCATTGTTTGTGTCCTGGAAGTGACGAATTCTGTGAGAGATATGGGCAAAACGACGATGACGACAAAGATTTGCTCATGATTATGACAGTAATAGCACTGTTCATTTGGCGGCAGCAACACTGATCTTAGCGGTAAGGTGCCAAACTATTGAATAAAGACATAAATAGCAAAGTTGATTACAACAAACTACAGCTGCTGAAACGGGTTCACCCTTACTTGTTTTTCATCCAAACAAAAAACAGCTTTTAGAGTTTCAATGACATTTTCGTCCATTGTCTTGCTGATTCCTCTGTGTCATTTTCAGACGAAGAAGAGAGCTATGACACCTTTTAGCACTACGTGCTCTTCGTCTTCCAGATGATCTTCGAGACATGCTGCAACATGAGAAACGAAACAATAGGTGAGATTCGGCGTTGAAAATACCGAAACATCAAGCAGCTCCAACACCACAACCACGAGTACAACGACAAAGTCACTTTGCCAAGTCTTCACTCATATCATAAAGATGACATTGGCACCGTTGCGATGCCATCGAAAGGCGAATCGACCGCACCGTCATTGTCAATCGATCAATGACTATGGAACGACGATGAAAATGGACCCTTATGGGGCATAAATGAAGACTTTTTCACCAAATCCATACAAACTACATACATCAGAATAACAAGCAGATAAAGACGAAGCTATCGACACCTTTCTTGTCTTGTTTGCTGCGGTATTGAGAACGAACGATGCTATCTCATGAACTACGGGGGTATGGTGTTTTTGTTTTGGGGAAAAAAAGAAAAAAAACACTATCAACACGACTTCGGAAAATCACAAAGGAGATTTTGACCACATCAAAAATCAATGGTCGTGTTTATTTTGTCTTGAGAACAATTTGGAATCTCGCGTGTGTCGGTCTTTTGCTGAAACATTTATTATTAATTTTGGTGCGTCCAAAATTGAAAGGCACTGTTTCGAAATTTTTACATAGAAAACAGACCGCCACATTTTCTATTCTAACCTTCGATCTTGCGTCTGTCTTGATCCAAGATTCGAAATATATATGGCGGGAGGTCATTTACATCCAATTCAGTGTGTTTCCTACTGTCACCGTTTCTGAACTGACTGAACAACCCTTGCCCACACAATCGGTTCACAAATTTCAAAACAAACTGAATTGAAAGATGGTCAAACTTCATCTATCCCTTGCTGCTGCCTTTGCAGCATTTACGCTCACCACTGCGGAGAAAGCTCCCGGTGATATTATTGAAATGAAAATGGCGACCACTGGACAAACGGATCAGATACGCATTCTCACCAAACCCAGACCAGGCTACACCCCCGCGGCCGATGCTCCAAGCGTTTGGAATATGAAGGATGGCTGTGAGGATGTGAGCTCAGTCGATTTCATCTTTTCTCCTGTGGATGACGAATCCAAGTGCTGCAAGCTTGAGTCGCTCGATGGGTTCAACCTCTGGCCAGAACAACAAGGTTACACTATCCCTGGCGGAGCCAACATTGTTGCCCAAGAACAGTTCGCTCTCGACAATGGTTGCTTCGAGAGAAACCGTGGATCAGGTGGCTCGTACACCCTTCAATCAGGCGAAACGTACAATTCCTACATGGCCCAATTTTTGTCTCACGACCAATCGACGGTATTCTTTGACAATGTTGTGGAGTTCCACAAGTATGTATCCTACTGCTGTATTGATTTGCTTTGATACTCCAGTTTCTCACACTTTCGTTTGCAGCCAAGACATTGTTGCCATTATTCACGACACCGACAAACTGAAGGAATCTGATCAATTATTCGCGCTTGGGGGGCAATCGACCTACAAAGATGTTCGCGATGATGAATGGAGGGGTTTTGAAGCCAACAGCCATCGATATGAATCCTTGCATGTCAATTGTCTTGCTCGACCAAGCCCTGGATCTTGTCCCGTTACTCTATCCACTGCCGTTAGCGAAGGTCCGTCAACTTTTTTTGAGTTTCATCGTGTTATGAGGTCGTGCCGCACGTTCTCACAGTCGTTCATCATCTTTCAGTTGCCGTATCCAACGAATCTTGCGAGGGTAGAGGTTGGGGCGACCCGCACATGGTCACTTTCGACGGTAAGGAATCCATTCTTCTCAACCACCAACATCAACCTCGATCGTCATTCTCACACACCTGATTCGCTGTCTCAGGTCTTCGTTATGATGTGCATGTGAAGGGTGAACTAATCCTTGTGAAGTCATTGGACTCTGCCTTTGAGATCCAAGGTAGAACCGAAGCCGTCGAAAACCACAATGCAAGACCTGCTGTCACTACCGGCATCGTCGTCAACGAAGTCGGTGACAACCCAAGAATCCAAGTCTCTTTGGCACGCGACGCCAGTGACACGTACACTGAAGTACTTCGTGCCAGCGGTTGCCGTGGAGATCATTGCAACTGTCCTGTTCAGCTCTTTGTGGACGGCGTTGCCCGACCAGTATCGTCCGGATCTGGCAATACTATGGCATCTGTGGCAGTGACTGGCGGCAATAGAATCACTATCCAGTACCCCGAAACAAAAGTCAAGGTTACGATGGATGTCAGAAACTGGAGACAAACTTGCCACTTTTCCGTAACCTACACTTTGGCCGACTGTCGACCAAACGAGAATATCGTTGGTCTGGTTGGATCTCCAGACAACGAGTGGCGAAATGACTGGATGCAGCGCGATGGAACTCCAATTCCTATTCCTCCTTCTTTGAAAAAGGGAGCTGGATTCGAGCCAACTTATATCTACACTCGGGATAACTGGTGCGTGGACAAGGAGTCCGACTCTTACTTCGAGTATGAAGCCAACACCGATTTTGCATTCTTCGATGAGTGCGACAACCCGTAAGTGCTGAAAGCGAAACATTCTATTATGATTATTGCTTTGCATACTGACCTGACTGTTCACTTCATGGGTTTTTTGGACAGATATGATCCTTCCTTGGAGCAAGCTGTTGCCAATGCGGATGCTGCAGTTATTGAGGAATGCCAAGGGGATGTGTTTTGCATTGTCGACAGCATTGCTCTTGGTCCAGAGGCTGCGGAAGCGTATCTTGAAGATCCAGCTCTTAACCACACTCTTTCACAAACAGCTTCCACCGATATTGAAATTGTTCTTCAAGGTGAGTTCCTAACTCTCTCTTCGTTCGAGACGCCTCTCTTTTGTATATATTTGTTTTCTTACGCTTGCTGTCTACGCAGTTCCTGATGAGTCTCCCGATCCCAACTGTCCCGTTTGCAAGGCAAGAGGTTGGGGCGATCGTAAGTCAGCTTTGCAGGATACAGGATATTTTTGTGTGGCTTCGCTAGTACGTGTACTGACTGTCCGCTTTTCCTTTTTGCACTTTGCAGCGCACATTATTACTTTCGATGGAGTTACTTACGACGTCCACGTCAAGGGCGAGCTAACCTTCCTCAAGAGTTTGAGCACCGATTTTGCCATCCAAGCACGGACACAGATCGTCGCCAACCATCCAAAGGGACCCGCTGTGACTACTGCAGTGGTTGTCCACGAGGACAGTACCTTGGGACTCCCTGTCGTTCAGGTTTCACTAGGCAAGGACGAGGACAGCGAGCTTGCAACTATGATTGGACCATGTGCCGTGCAGCTTTTTGTAGATGAGGAAGCCAAGGACATTCGACTTGGAACTGGATCTTCTGATGTCACCGTGCAGGTCAAGAACAAGCGAATTGTTGTCGAATATGCTTCGACCAACTTGCGGTTGGACATGGATGTGAAGGTGTGGCGCGACACTTGCCATTTTTCTGTGAACTATTTCTTGGCCGATTGTCGCTGTGATGAGACTTTGGTTGGGATTCTCGGTCAGCCTGATGGAGACAGCTACAACGAATGGCACGATCACACTGGCAATGCTGTCGACATTCCATCCAACGGACGCAAGCGTCGCGGTATTGAAGCATACAACTATTCTATGACTTGGTGCATTTCTGAGGAAGATTCCCACTTCACCTACGAGTCTGGAATGAATCATGGCACGTTCGACAAGTGTACCTCGGACAAGTAAGTTTTTCAAACCACCTGTAATCCGGACATCTCCCGTGCTGCAGTACTAACGCATTAGTTTCCGATCACAGCTTTGATTTGGACATTGATGATCTGATCGAAAATGCTGATACGGACACAATTGACAAGTGTACCATCGACGGTGTCTTGGAGGAAGGTTGCGTGTTAGAATGTGAATTTTTGGGCGACGAGGCATGCGATGAGTACATTGTGATTATTCAAGAAACCGAGACAGTGGAAATCACTGACGAACCGACCTCAGGTCCCACACCAGTACCTACTTCTGGGCCAACTCGAGTCCCTACCTCAGGTCCCACACCCGTTCCTACTTCCGGACCAACTCCCGTCCCAACCCCAGTACCTACTTCTGGACCAACTCCCGTGCCTACCTCGGGTCCCACTCCAGTGCCCACTTCTGGACCAACTCCGGTACCAACTTTGGAAGGATCAAGCGGGCCAACTGTGGCAGCATCAAGCTCTCCTACGACACTCCCAACTCCAGGTCCCACTTCAGGACCTACCTCTGGACCAACAAAGGAACCAACTCCAGTACCCACATCTGGACCAACTCTGGTACCAACTTTGGAAGCATCAAGCGGACCAACTGTGGCAGCATCAAGCTCTCCTACGACACTCCCAACTCCAGGTCCCACTTCAGGACCTACCTCTGGACCAACAAAGGAACCAACTCCAGTACCCACATCTGGACCAACTCTGGTACCAACTTCGGAAGCATCAAGCGGACCAACCGTGACAGCATCAAGCTCTCCTACGACACTTCCAACTCCAGGTCCCACTTCAGAGCCGACCTCTGGACCAACTCCCGTGCCTACATCAGGTCCCACATCTGTTCCAACAAGCGCACCCACAAAGCAAAGCCAGCTTGGAACTGCCGCCAGTGATATCACCACGCCGGAAACGAATGTCACTAATCCTGATGAAATTCTTGAATCCGACTCTGGAAGCAGGGGTGACCCACACTGTAAGTCATCGTTGTGCGACATTGTTTCTTGCGAACTGTCTCGTTATACCTTTCAGCTAGCTGACTAGCCTTTTTTTTCTTGCATGCAGTCAAATCATGGGTCGGAGAACACTTTGAGTATCATGGGCAATGTGATTTGGTCCTTGCTAAGGATGCCAACTTTGCTGATGGCCTTGGATTGGATGTACAGATTCGCACCAAGCTTGTTCGCTTCTGGAGTTACATCAAGAGAGCCGCCATTCGAATTGGCGATGACATCCTTGAAGTGGAAGGTTCAGGCGACATGAGCGAGACAGATCCTCTCTATTGGTTCAATTTTGTTCACCAGCGACCTGTACAGACAGTAGGCGGCTTTCCAGTTCAAATCACCAAGGGAACCGGTCGCTCACACAGACACAAGTTTGAAATTGACTTGAGCAGCAAGTACCCTGGCCAGAAGATCGTCATTGCGACGATGAAGGAGTTCGTGCAGGTGGACTTTGTTAACGCCTCCGCCAAAGCTTTCGGCAATGCTGTTGGTATGTTGGGAGACTTCAAGACTGGAAAGACCTATGCTCGTGACCAAACTACTGTTATCAATGATTTTATCGAACTCGGAAACGAATGGCAGGTGTTGCCACAGGACAATATATTGTTTCAAGATGTGTCGGACCCCCAGTTCCCCAAGCGTTGCATCCTTCCAGAAGATCCGCGTGGAGACCGCCGCCGCCGTCTTGAAGAATCGACTATCACCATGGAGGAGGCTGAAGCGGCATGCTCCAAGGGTTTGAGCGATCCTTTGGACATCAAGGATTGCGTATATGATGTCTTGGCAACCCAAGATATGGATATGGTTGGGGCCTTCTAAGACTCAATTGGAAGCTCCTTTCCGATTTATAATGGCAGCCTGTTGCCATATTGCTTCATACTACACGAAAGAAACGAACAAGCTAGAAAATATAATAATTACTTCCTTATCGACATATATCTATCTATCTATCATCTTCATGCCATTCGACCACCATACTACCACCGGCCGGCCGGCGTGTCATCTTTCAAACGACATTCAATTAATTAGTACCTGCGCGTGCCGGGGATACCTTTACACAAAAACGCAGCTCAAATAAACCTCATCATCCACTTCATCACATTCACAATAACCTTTTAACTATCATGACGACCAGAACTCATATTCGAGACGTCTTGCGTCCCCTTGATCCTAATCAATCAGAAACGCCCGTGAAGGAAAATGAATTCAAAAGCCCATTTGGTATGGGAACGACTGCAAAGACATCAGCTACTCCCAAACGAACGGCAGTACCAAACGCCGCCAACTTGCTATCGCCCCTCCCAATCAAGCAGCGCAAGAACTTTTTCAAGAGCCCACAGTACAAATCTCGCAAACAACAGTTTCATTTGGTGTGTGCAGAGCGAGTCGCAGAAGATATCGACGGCGACCTCTGCGAGCTAGGGATTCAAGAATGGGCAGTTGATGATTTTGTGTACCAAAGAAAGTTGGGACATGGGGGAACTGCCCACGTTTATTTGGCCAGTGAAAAGCAATCTGGCTATAAGGTGGCTTTGAAGATTCAAGAAACGGACGATAATGCTTTTTGCGAAATCGATATTCACGACAAACTGGATCATCCGAACATTGTTCGAATGATTGACTACTTTTACTCATTCACACCATTCCGAACGGAAGAGGAAGACCAAGGCTGGGAGGACGGTCCTACACTTCCCCACAACCCGGAAGAGCCATTCTTGTATATGATTCTCGAAGTGTGTGACGGAGGATCTCTTCATGACAAGATAGATAATGCCCCAAATGGACGGATTCCAGAACAACAGGCGGCAAAATACTTTCTCGATGCTGTCCGGGCCCTGGAATACATTCACGCACAAGGCATGCTTCACTGTGATTGTAAACCCGCCAACTTTTTGCTAGACTTGGATGATCGCGTCAAATTGGCCGACTTTGGCATGGCAGTGCATGAAGAGGAGAAGGAAGTAGTTGGTGGGTCGCCAGTGTACATGGCACCCGAACACTTAATGGCCTGGCGGCAAATGACGGATGATTTTGACCATCGAAGTGATATCTATAGTCTCGGGGTAGTTTTGTATGAAATGTTGGAAGGTGTTTTACCATACATTGTCTGGGAAGCCCCCAAGATGAACCTCGAAAGCAGCGTTCCTGCTCCGATTTATGACAGCGACGACGAAGAACTTTTCCCGATCTTAGACCTGCGCAAGCTTTTCGACATGTCGTCAGAAGAACCATTTTACGTCCCTCCGCCACTGTTTCTCGCGGAAATTTCGGAAGAGGCAGAAGACTTAGTGACGCGCCTCATGGAGCCGTCTGCCAGTGAAAGGATTTCCCTATCGGAAGCAAAGGATCACCCCTGGCTAAAGAAGTTCAATTTGTAATGTGTCGCTGCGGTATGCTGGGGGTTGCATACCGGCAGATGCAGAACAGTTCTTGACGCAAGATATGTTTCTAGATGAAGGATCGCCAAGCCCAAGCTTGCTCAATTAGGGACCCATCCTTGACGACTAGCAGATTGAAGAGAGCCGCGATAGCTTTTCAATGACAGCATTCAGCATAACCATGAAGTAAATAGTCTCGGATGGAAAAAGGATGATGAACCCTCAGCAAGAATCACTTTTGATAAAGAGAAAAATGGATGTATGGGGTATTAAAATAGAATTTACTAGTAGCCAAATACTAACGAAAGCTCGTGCTGTTCGAAGACTAGTGTTTCAGTGATATTGTGGACGACTCCTATCTGTGGTCCAATCCAGTTTGCGTTTGAAGTCATCAGAAACCATTTGGACTTTTGGTCATTCAACTCTCGTCCATCGTGCCACAAAGAATCCATCAGAGCTGTCGATACGGATAGGTAGTAGATTAGAGCAGTGTCGAAAGTCTTTCCGGTTGGATTGTTCCTGTTCTTCTTGATTTTGATTTGGTGCATAAAGCAATGGTTTCCAGAGCATGCCGTCTCCTTTATTGGACGACGAGTCCTCAAAGCTTTCAACGACTTGTTCATTTTCGGAAGAGCAGATGGAACAGGTGGCATACACCAGAGTTCCTCCCACTTTCACTCGTTTGGAAGCTTCTTGCAAAATGGAAAGTTGCAATTCTGGAAAGCGGTTCCTGATTTCATCTTCGTTCAGTTGAAATCTTTGGGATGGACGTCGTCTAAGTACACCTGTCGACGAACACGGTGCATCCACCAAAACCACATCTGCAAAGCTTTCTGGGTACCCTTGCCCGTTGACGCAAGCTGTAAGATTAGTAGTAGTCAGAATTTTCACCGTTGAACCAGCCTCTTGTAACCCAATCCGCGATAGACTGCCTTCCAATTGCTTTAGCCTATCGGAGACAATATCATGAGCAATTATGGTAGCGGTGACAGGGCTGCCAGTGAGAGAGCTCTCGCCATTCTTATTCTCTACGTGTTGATGTTGCATGACGATATGAGAAGCCAGTGCCAAAGCCTTTCCCCCATTCCCGGCACAATAGTCCACTGCTACAAATTCTCCATTATTGTCAAAAGTCGATTCTATGGACTGGACAATGAATTGAGAACCGGCATCTTGTACTTCAAAATATCCGTCCTTCCAGGACGATAGGGACCAAATGGAAGATTTGGAAGGTGACCAAGAATCATCCGTGACAAGTTGAATATAGGCTGTATTATTCAACGCATCGGTACCGTTGCGGTGGTAATTCCATTGAGCAGGCACAATGGGAGCGCTGCGAATCCCGTGGCGATTGGACAAGAGGGATTGTAGTTCCGAGTCAGATCTACAACGAATGGCATTGCGACGAATCGTAATAGGCCCAGGTGCATTGAACGTTTTTGCCATTTGTTCTGTCAGATCCAGTCCATATTGATCAATCAATAATTTTACAAAGAAGAGAGGAAGACTGTAGCGCACAGAGATCCCAAGTGCAGGATCCTTCACCACAGTCAAAAAGTCTGACAAGATCAATTCCATCGTAGACGAATCTTGTCCTTGCTCTTGCAAGTATTGTAGGTGGATATGAGCCATGACTCGTGACAAATCCAACTTCTTGGCGTCGTCGTCGACCAAAGATATTGGATGTGTTTTTGAAGTTCTGACCAGAGAGTACTTGTAGGTACTGATGTCGACCCCATTGATGGAACCTAAATCTCGAAGGGAGAGTCCATAGGTAGGAACTATGGAAGCTTCGTCATCTTGTCGTAGATTCTCTTGCTTGTCAAGAACTGCAATCAGGGTATGATAATGCCGTATTCTCATGATGGATGTTCCGAGCAGAAGATCAGACAGAAACTTTCGGGTTTGACGCCTTTCCTCAGCGGCATTGGGACTACCGCTATCCATCCACTGTGTGACTTCTTTCTGGTATTCTCGTAGCACCCTCCTCAAGGCCTTTTCTGCTGTAATAGTCTTATTCTTGGAAAGAGACATGTTGCGCAAATTGTCAGTGCCATCCATCCTACCATCATCTCCACCGAAAAATACTGGGACCAATCCTCGTGCCACCATTTCCGTCAATTCTTGCTGACGTTCCTCGCCCAAAGCCACATATTTCAAGGTAGAACAAGCTATTCGCGTCGTTCTATGAGATAGTATTGGCAGCAGCCCTGGTACGTTATGATAATGTCGTCGCATTTGGGTAATTGATGGCTGAAAAGCTAGCGTCGTTATTGTTGTAGTACCAGTCCACATCAAAAGCAGACAGGCAAAAATCTTTCTTTGTATACATTCCATACTTCGGAAGGCTAGTTTACTTCCTTGCGATTGCATTGGCAAGAATTCAAACCTAGGAAGGAATCATACTATTTGCACATGAGTTTGTTGTGACGCAAAGAGGACTAATGAGGCTCGGGTTGCTCTCACAACAATCGCTCGTGTGGCTCTGACAATATGTTATTGATGATGAACTGCATGTCATCGTCTGGCCTACTGCGCGCAACGGACCATTCGTGACTTCGTTTCAGTCACTACCGTCTTAGTTCTTCATTATTTTCAAATTTGTTTTACTATCGAAGATAGCCAACTGGCGCCTACCGCCTGAGTTCTTCCGTGAGGGATTCTTTCTTGGTGCGATTGCTCATCCTTCTCAATCGCTTTGGATTTCGCGTCCGCTGCTCCGTTCTGATTTCCAGGATGATGTTTGGGACAAACTTTCATTAGTAATTGAGAGGCTTCAACAAGCAATGCAGAACCTATTTGAGCTAGTCCCTGTGGAAGAGGATTTTTGTCCTGGATGCTGTGGACATCCAAGACACAGCCGTTGTATTATCGATCAATAAAGCTAAAATGTAGCCCCCATTGATGGGGCCAAGAAGTATCACACATTTGATACAGATCCAAAGGTTGATGAGTGCACCCAGATATTCCAATGGGTTGATGTGTAAGAAACCATCAGGTAACGCTGGGTCATTAGATGAGATTTTTATTTCACGCATCTCAAAACCCGCTTCGACAAGAGTATCACGGGTCAGGCGCCAAAGGAAACTGAAATTGGCACTCCAGCCACCCAAGCCACCATAGCCTGCGTCGGAATATGCACTATGAGTGTAGTCACGATCCAGGTACAAAGCGATAGGCCGAGACCAAAGTGGGCTGTCCTCAGGCGCCAATAATGTCTCCAACAGTTGATGGATTGTAGCAACTGCCACACGCAATAGGTAGATACGAGAACATGTCCACCAGCTTCGTTTGTCGGAGAAGGCATTCTTGGCAGCCTGTGTCAGTGCATTTTGCAAGTTAAAGCTCAAGAAATTGCCCCATGGTGCAATTTCAGATGCGGAGCGGACAATACCAACAATCTTTGCCATCTCACAAGGAGAAACGCAACGTGGATGAAGTTTCAGGATGTCCACCAACTGTGAATGCAAGTCTTCCCGTTTGTAGAGTGGCCAAGAAACCGTCATATTGTGTGTATTGATACAAAATCCTAGAAACAAAAAGGTTTCTGTAACCTCAGGTTCCCACTTTTTGTCCTGGAGGCAGTCACCACGGCGATTATCACCATGACCAAAAACCTCAAAGGCAGACATCACACTGTGATTGATTGCTTGCTTGATATGTTCAGCAAAGGCGGCAACTGCATTGTCGTCAACATAGCTAGCATTGTACATTTGAACAAGTTCGGTCACAGACAACGGTGGGTGACGGGAATCAGCAGGGACCGTGCACAAAGGAGTGGAAGTATCAATGGCAATGGTACATTTACGGACCAGCGCATGTAATTGTTCCAAAGGAACATCAACACGACAAGTTGCCAAGACCTCCCGTAGGTTGGCAAGAACACAATAGAATGATGGAGCATTCCTTGAACCAAACACCTGGCCCACTGGGACAATCAAATAGTCTGAGTATACACATGCAAATGCCACAGCTACATCTGGATGATAAAGCACACGTTGAAAAGCGGCTTCAATATTGTCAGCATGAACCAAAATAGGACTTGTTGGTTTGGTGATGCGCATACGGAGAACTTGACGTAGCAACCTCTTGAACGCAAACTGGTAGTGGATTGGAGGGCACTGCTCACTGGACTTATCTTGCTTTGGTTTGGGGATATAGGTGTTGATTGATCCTAAGTCGTCAGGACCATTGGAACAGTCAATGCAAATCCGACCTTTACCTTTGTCAAAAACCCACTGGATAGGATTAATAACCAGACCTGGGATGAATTGGAACACAAACCGTAAATAGTGAATATGATAAGCCTTCCATTCTTCTTTTGCAAACTTCTCCTCAACTTTGGAAGAATTGGCAGCAACTGCTGGATGGTTATCATATTCTTCTCTAAGTACAGTAGCAGACATAGGAGTCCTGTATTGGGCTTTGATAGGAACACCTTCAGTTTGGATGTGATAAGCCACGTGGTTCTTTCAAACAAGCCAGCAAAGTAACAGAGGCAAAGCGACAAAGAGAGGCATATTGACGCCACTGAGGCAACGCAATAATCACTTTGTGTCTATCCACTGTCAACAGAAAGCCCCAAGCATAATGAATCATGGATCGAGGGTTGACCTTTGCGTGGGTACCATAGCGATCTTTGTGCACTTTTCCAAAACCCCATTGTCTTTTGCAAGTAGTCTTCCAAGGACAAGAGAACGGAAACTCCAAAAGCAGAGAATTTTTCGCCAAAGCCGGAGTCACCAGGGTCAGCACGTTATAATCTGTTTCATCCAAATAGTTGCTTGCCTGTACCAGGTGGGCAATCAGCATAAATGTCGGCTGAACTTGTCCATTTCCAGGAATATTTTCATGTAGCGTCTTGGTAGGAGTGTTGAATTTCTTCTCTTTTCCCCATGGTAGACATGGCACAATCTTAAGAGGCAACTCACGAATTGGAAGATATTGCCAGTCCCAATCTCCAGGCCATCTGTTCTTGATCCGAGCTGGTGGTGTCTTGTGAAACCGACGCCTTGGGGGAACCATGATCTTTACTCTGTCTGATACCACTGGCTTGGAGTCGTGCTCCACAAGCTGGGCCCCTTCGAGTGCCAGTGGATCCCATCACCAAGTTGTACTTGGAGTCAGTTTCTTGAATGCCTTGCTGGGCAAAATATGATCGTGATACTTCTTTATGAAATTGACAATTGGCTTCCAATCCTCTTCCTTGTAGTTGGCCGCGGACCAACGCGCATCATTCAAATCGATATGAAGACGTGTTTTGCCAGCATAGCGGCCCACCTTGTGGGTCTTACAAGTCCCGGGTTTGGAACAAGTACAATGGCCCTCAAAGGTTGAATTTAAACAGATCGGATACAATGTGTTCTTACCAGAAGTGCGTTTAGCATGAGGATCCACAATCAAGGGATAGGTGCCCCGTTGGACCACTGGGTATAACATTTCCGACGGAGATTTCTTTCCCAAAGGAGTGACAGTATGATTCCACACAAATAGTGGACTGGTGTTACGAAAGGGAACATTCTCTTTATCATCCCGAGTACGCTCCGTCGTCTTTGGCTTTGGTAGGTCCAAAAGCCGTGAAGGCGCAGCTTTTTCAGGGGCAAAGAAAGGTGAAGAAGACATCGCCCACGAACATTCGTTTGGAGCAGTATACCGACCAGCTCCCCAATTGCGCTGTATGCGAGTATAGTAGTCATGAAGAACATTTACTACACTCTCCGTCTGAGCCATAAAACCTGCACGGCACCAACATAAATACTGCATTACGGTCATTTGTGGGCCACACATCACTAATACCATAATTTTCCACATCATGTCAAATACGATGGTCAACGAACTTCTTCAGAATGTGAAATAGTTCACTCAAATCGCGAACGTAAGCAGCTGTACACTGTGCAGGTGTCTGAGCCCATCTATGACCCAAATTTGTGTTCAGGACATATTGACATATGTGTTGCAAACAATGACCAAAGAGTGAACTGCAGAAAAGCTCATCATTGTAATCTCCGTTATCCGAAGTTGGGTTTGTAAAGCCCAAGAGTGCAAAATGATAGTATATCACCAGCGCAAATGCTTTCATCTGCTGCCAACTTAATCCGTCACTTGGTAGGTAATCAGAAGAAAAGTCTTCCAAAATACAGGGTAGGAATGCTAGCAATGAAAACCGTTTGGATGTTCCTGGTGGTGGAGCGCTGTCAGGATCCACCCACCATGTAGCAATATCAAAACTACACTTGATGAAGTCACTGTCCACTACGGACCGCAAATCACGTTATAGCTCTCCAACTTGCGAGAATGTTCCAAATTGGTATTTGGTTCGGTACTCTATAGCCGTACAAACAATATTCGCAGCCACACTGCCATCATTTTTGTAATCAAACCCTTCCAGACATCTACGCCCAATTTCTGTTGGTAGTCCAAATTGGAGAACGTCAGATGCCATTCGATCACCAAGAGATGTTCGCACCATCCCCACCGTAGGAGGGACTGGATGCAACAACCAATATCCAATTGCCTTCAATTCCGGGGGCAACAAGGGCGCTCCATGTCCAAATTAATACTGGCAGTCCGCACAGGGGTATATTTGGACCGCGAATTTGGCTTGTTTGTGGTGAATCCGGGATGGGCCGGATAATAATCCATTGGATACACTGCACCTCTGTACCCTGCGGGATAAGATAGGTTTGGATGCAAAGCAGTAGTGAGGAGAAGGTATCCCTGGCGATGCCGGAAACATCTGTTGATGGTGCATCGGTGTTGGCAACCCAGGCGCCGGCAATCCTGTGTGATGTCCAGCAATCGGGGACGGGCCCCTAGGGGTAGGATCAATTTGGACGCGTGGACCTTGTTGGAATGGAGAATTCCATGTTGAATTGTGGATTCCATTAGGAGGCATACCTTGGGCTGGCGACTGGAGTGGTATGTTTGTACCGTTCATAACACCAGCAAACGGATTACCTCCTGTGGCATCTTGGAAATAAAGGTATTTCTTGATTTTTACTAAACTCGCACACAAGTTCGATAAATTGATCGGACTTGGTGTTGCGGAGCAATGATGTTGAGACGGTCGTTCGACCGTCGTCAGTATGATGAAAGGAATCCAATGATTCGTTCTCGAGCTTTCGTCTAAGTCGAACGTCGTCTGTTTGTCCATCAGATAATAGCCGTTGTTGAACGTCTGCACCCCAACGGCTAACGTATCCAAAGTATCTTATACAGGTATCAAGATTACCAATCTTGATTACCATCTTCCCTTGCTAAGCTTCGCCACATTCTCAACGTTGTTAAGACTAAGCATCGCCATTGCATGCGTTGAGATGGTCGGAGTTTCATCCTGTTTGCATCCTTCACAACACAAAATCACTATAATTTTCAGAATACTGTTTTATCACACATCTTTCGGACATTTACAACTATTTCAGTACTTGAAGCACAACAAGCCTGGACAACCTTGTACCTGCATTCTCAAGTAATCAAGGCTGTACACGCTACAGCTTTGAGTGGTTATTTACGCCCAATTTATACCTAATAAGTTACGCTACCAGCCTCTGTGGAGACGTCCATTAGAGCTACCAACCAAAGCTCTCCGAGCCTACAACAAAGAAGTACTTCACTAGCTTCCCAAGCTACCACCAGCTCTCCGAGCATCGATCAAGCTTCCCAAGCACCTACCTACCGGCCCACAAGCTTTCCAAGCTCACATTTGCAAAGATAGAGACTCCGTCTCGCCCAACTGGTCCTTCAGGAGACGGCTCTCCAGCATCTCTTGTTGACGTCGCCGCAGAACTCAACGACGACTCAGTTGGCTCGGACTGGGACAACAACACCGCTAGTTCCACAAGCACATTGCCTCCCATGTCGGGCACCACCTCAACTTTCCAGCTCCAACCGCCCATCATGGGTTACACCATGGAAATCAACAGCTCTGGCGACAAGATGGCAGTGGTTGGAACTGGCAAACCATTGAAGGACTGGAGCGCATTGGACACCAGTGCACCATTGGCATTTTCTCCAAACCAGCAACGTCCCATCTATGGAGATGGGAAGTACCGCCATCTACGTACCCAAGGTCTGCCTGTCAAGTTTGCCAGAAAGGGCAATCTCAAAGAGTTCAAGTGTCAGATACAAGAATTCATTGAAGCAAACGGGTTCTTTGCCATCACTCACGTACCTGATCCAGTCTCTGGCAAAATGCTCTGTATTGTCAATGGACATCCAAGATTCACGGTCCAGTCTGTTACAAAGCAAGTTGAACAACAGGTCACATGTTATGACAAGTACGACAAAGCAAACGACGCTGAAGCCAAGATTTTTCTAGGCAACAGCCTCGACCCGGAACTTGCTGCCAAACTCTACCTGAAGGTCAAGACTACCGATCCGTTTCCCATTATGTTTTAAAAGTTCATTCAGATGCTCCACACCACGTCTATCCATTATTTTGAAGGACTCAAGACAAACATCCGCAAGCGCAAGCCCTCCCAATACTCTGGAGAGGATATTGCACAGATGGCAGAGGACAACAAGGAAGATGCAAATGAGTTGACAATCGCAGGTCAATATGAATTCAACCTCAACAATGTCATGGTTGACAACTTCCTTGAAGCCTCCAGAGCTGAGCACAATTCTTACCGTCATGAAATGCTCAACGTCAGCGCCAAGATGAACAAAGCACTGATTGAGATTGGCTACATGGACAAGGAAGCAGCAGCGCAACATTTGGAAGCAGAAGAACTCACCCACGAGCACATCTGTGACAAGGCCGAGGACGCTTACCGTACACTCTTTGACAAGCATCAATGGCCTGCTGCAAGACCCACCATCCGAGATTCCAAGACTCCGTATGCCAAGATGGCCAAGACATTCACCCCCGATGACGTCCAGAACCACGCTTACGCTCTGATCCACCAACAGACCGGTTCAAAGGGCAAGGCCAAACCCGACGACATCTGCTTGAACTGTGGAGAGAAAGGACACTGGGCTCGCGACTGCAAAAGTGACAAGAAGCCCAAGCGACCTTTCAACAACAACAAGAAGAGTAAGCATCAAAAGGATAAGCACGGTTCCAGCTGGAAGACTACTCCACCTGCTCTTGGTGCACCTGAGACCAAGAAAGTCCGCGGAAAGGATTTTAACTGGTGTGCTCATTGTGGACGTTGGTCAACCACCCATGGTACTGACGGACATACCAATGAAGCCACCAAGCGCGACTTGAAAGGTTCGGGACCCCAAGCACCTACGCTTTGCTGGAGCCTGGTACACTCCCTTCCGCACTGATCAGCCCAGTCTTCTGTCCCTACGTGTGGTCTGGACCATCCTCCAACACCTCTTGAGCTACCTTCCCAAGTTGGTTGTTGCATTCTTCTTAGCCCGTTCCATTGGAGTCACTACACCAACTGTTTCAGCTTTCATTGCCGATCAAGTCTCAACAGCATCCTCTTTCTTGGCCGATCAAGTTTCCTTCATGATGAGTCAAGCTACCGCCGCCTCCGCCTACCTATTCACTGCCGCTTCCACTGTCATTGCTGCCTTTGAAGGATCCCCTACCAACCGCCTTGCTCCGCTCCTATGGTTCACCCTCCTGATCCTCGTGTCCCTTCCTACCAAAGTACAACATCGACTCATTGGGTCCCCGCCTCAAGAATTTCGCCCGTTCCGGATGACCAAAGCCAAGTACAAACGTTACATTCGACATTGTCGTCGTCAGCGCCGTCCCACTTCATTCAGTCATCGCCGTCGCACCCGTCATTATGGTCTCGCCACCCGCCGTCGCCTCGACCCACAATCTCAAGATATCTTTGACTTGGTCCAACATATCATTCAGTTTTCGGAGTGTCTCACGTTTTGTCGTTCCCGTCGAGAGGGAGATAATTGGAGAAGCAACAGACGATATCAGAGAAATCACAATGATCACAACGATTGGCAGAGAACAAACGACGGTTGGAGAAACATGAACGACAACGAACCTAGTACCCCTCATCCTACCACTTCCCGTGAAACACCCCATGATGAACATCAGCGTCGGCGTCCTGGCGATCCAAACTGGACCTTCTACCAAGGTCCCCGCCAGCGAGGTGAAGATGATGCCTTCCGTTTTGATCCTCCCAGACCTCGATCGTGTCGCCACGACTCTTCCAGACATCGTTTCAATCGCCATAACCCTTCCTCGAATCCAAGTGACGACATCTTCCGCCATTTCAACACATTTCCAAGAACGGATCGGATGCGCAGACAAAGGATGACACGTCGACGTCAACCAAGCATGCCACGAATCTACAGACCTACCGTTGGCGTCGGACTCCCAATGGCTCATGTTGCCGTCCTATCTTCTCCCACGGCCAAAGCCTTCTTCAGGAACGCCGATATTCCACAACAATTCAGCAAGGTCATCAACTGCTTCCGTGCTGCAATGAATCCAGATGAACTGAAATCAGATATGTCAGGTGATGAAAAGACGGCAAGGTACCCGATAATCTGGGATTCCGGTGCAACAACTTCGATCTCACCTTACAAGGACGATTTTGTGGGAAAGCTTGAGCCAGCACCTCTTGGACTCAAGCTTTGTGGAATCGCTAGCGGCCTGGAAATCAAAGGGGTTGGACATGTTGCATGGTCAGTGGTCGATACAACTGGCATGTTACGAACAATCAAGGTGCCTGCCCTATATGTACCGTCTGCCACAGCTCGATTGCTCAGTACCTCAAGTTTGCTCCAGACATACACCGATGAGTCCATCTCAATGAACCCTGATCATCTATAGTTGTCTGGATCAGACAAAACAAATTCAGTACGCGTTGACCACGACCCTTCAACAAACTTGCCGACATCGCTTGCCTACTCCCATGGAACTGCCCCTAACCGATTTGACGCATTCGCCAGCATCATCACGTCCACCTTGGAGTCAAACCACAACCTTAGTCCCGCCGAGAAAGAACTCCTAAGATGGCACCATCGGCTAGGCCATCTCAACTTCAGTCAGATCCAATTTCTACTCCGCACAGGTGTATTGGCGCATTCAGAGTCCGCTCGACGATTGCAAGCCGCAGCATCTCGGATCACAACATACCCACTTTGCCCAGCTTGCCAATTTGGAAAACAACGTCGTCGACCCTCTCCCGGGAAGACTTCTCGAGTCGTTCGTGATCGAGAGGGAGTTTTGAAGAATGAGAACCTGTTCCCAGGACAAAAGGTGTCAGTTGATCATTTTGAGTGTACCACAAGAGGACGATTGCTTCATACCTTTGGCAAAGAAGATCCCAAGACACAGTACACCGGAGGATGCATCTTCGTTGACCATGCAACAGGTTACGTCTTTGTCGAGCACCAAGTTCATCTGAACACACAAGAGACACTGAGTGCAAAGATATCTGTGGAAGAACAACTTCAAGATTTTGGAGTAGTTGTACTCGAATATCTAAGTGACAATGGAAGGCCCTTCACATCGCAAGAATACAATGATCACTTACTCAAGTTCTCACAAATTCACTCATTTGCTGGCGTCGGAGCTCATCATCACAATGGAATTGCCGAACGATCAATCCAAACCATCATGTCCATCGCTCAAACCATGATGATGCATCAAGCCATCCATTGGCCTGATGTCACAACCACCACACTCTGGCCCCTCGCAGTGGATCATGCCGTCTTCCTCTACAACCACATGCCCAACCAATCATCTGGTCTCTCACCACACGATCTGCTTACCAAAACCCGTTGGAAACAATCACAGCTTGCCGATGTTCAAGTTTGGGGATGCCCAGTGTATGTCTTGGACAAACAGATGCAAGATGGAAAGAAACTTCCTCGGTGGAAGCCTCGATCCACCCGCCAGATCTACGTTGGAATGAGCAAGAGACATGCATCGTCAGTTCCACTTTGTTTGAATCCCGACACAGGAGCCATCACCACACAATTTCATATTGTATTCGATCCTACCTTCTCGACTGTGGCAACAAATGTTGACAACCTACCTGATTTTGGTTCGGAAGCCTGGTCGAAACTCTTTGGAGACTCCGTCTACCAATATGTTCTGGATGATCCCGAGGACCCATTGCATCCACCTGATCCCACCGACGATCCTCCTCCACCTTTAACTGCAAGAGTCCGAGAACAAACAGAAGTTCACACCCCGCCCACTCCATTGGACGTTGTTCCGCCACCAACCAAGCCCCAATCCGATTTCTCTGGAGCCACCATACCTTCAATCCAGAAGGAGACAGTCATCAAGAATCCGCCAGCTGTTCCTCCCGTTCAGCCGCCTCCTTCTCAGAGGGAGAATGTGACCCCTACTCCTACAAATCCGCCACAGCCAACGCCGCCACCGGCTCGCAAACCGCAACCCACACCAACATCCAAAACTGCACCCTTGCCATCAGCCACACGCACATCTCGCCGATCCAACAAAGCTCAACCTCCAAAACGCTTTGGATACGATGGACATGGACCCGCAGGATACAACGCACCTCTAGAATCGCAAAGTCCAGAAACCAACAACTTCTACACTTACTTTTTGGCTTACTTCAACTCTTCGAACATTGAAGTGGAACACTCTCACGACTGCAGCTTCGTTCCAAGCTCGTACAAGGCAAGAGCCACCAAGGACCCAGACGTCTTCACTTACAACGAAGCGGTCAACGGTCCCAACAGCGAAAAATGGACTGCAGCCGCAAAGAAAGAAATCGAAGAACTTGAAGGAAAGCTCACCTGGATTGAAGTCCCAATGTCAAAAGCGAAGACCAAGATCATTCCTGGAACTTGGGTCTTTCGTGTCAAGAGAAATCCAAGCGGAGAAATGACCAAATTCAAGGCAAGATACTGTGTGAGAGGAGACCTGGAAGAAATGGATGTTGACAAAAACACGTTTGCACCTACCGTTGCATGGAGTACTGTCCGCTTGTTTCTTGTCCTTTGCTTGATCCTTGGATGGGCCACCGTCTCGGTTGACTTCAGCAATGCATTTGTGCAATCCAAACTGGACAAACCAAAATGGGTACACTTACCTCGAGGATTCGTCTCTCCAAAGGGCAAAGGAACATGCCTTCAACTCAACAAGTCACTATATGGGACCAAAGCTGCTCCCGCGCTATGGAATAAGACCGCCGTGGAAGGATTCACCAAGTGTGGATTCAAACAATCCGATTTTGACCCATGTCTTCTTTACAAGAAAGGCATGATGGTGGTTCTGTATGTCGATGATGCTGGAATCGGTGCCAAAGATCCAGCAGACATTGACAAGCTCATTGAGGAACTCAGAGAACTCCAATTTGAACTAAAGAAAGAAGGCGATTTCAATGAGTTTCTTGGCATAAAATTTGACAAACGCAAAGCCGGTTCAGTTGAACTCACCCAGACTGGTTTGATTGACAAAGTTTGGGAAGCAGCCAGAATGACTGACTGCAATCCCAATCAAATCCCCGCTACTGGTCCCCTTGGCAAAGATCCTGATGGTGAACCTATGAATGAAGAATGGAACTATCGATCAATTGTCGGAATGTTAATGTACCTCTTGACAAACACACGACCAGACATTACCTTTGCTGTCAGCCAAGTGGCACGATTCTCCTCTGAACCAAAACAATCTCATGCAACCGCTGTGAAAACAATTCTTCGTTACCTGAAACGCACTCGCACAAAAGGCATGATCATCAAACCTACCGGAAAACTGAACCTTGATTTGTTTGTCGATGCCGACTTCTGCGGACTCTACAACACCGAACCTCACACTGATCCAAACTCCGTTCGATCACGCACCGGGTTTATTGTCAAGTTGAGCAATTGTCCACTGATTTGGCGCTCCCAGCTACAAACATCCATCACTTGCTCCACGCTCGAGGCCAAATACAATGCTCTCTCTTCTGCTCTAAAGACCTTAATTCCATTGAAGCGTCTTCTCATTGAAGCCACCGACCACGTTGAACTCGACAACGGCATCCGCACCACCATTCGGGCCTCAGCTTTTGAAGACAACCAAGGAGCATATTTTCTGGCCACCAATCAAAGAATCACATCTCGCACCCGCTGGTATCTCAACAAGTGGCACTGGTTCTGGCAACACGTCAAGGACGGTGTTGGCCCAGAAACTGTTGCCATCCACGAGCTGGACACATCGCTCCAAGATGCTGATTACTTCACAAAGGCACAGTCTTGTGAACCTTTTGAGAGCAATCGCTTTCAAGTGCAAGGGTGGTAACACCTTTGCACAACCACCCTAACCCTTGTACATTTGCATTGAGCAGAGAGACGTAGACAACTCCGGTTGTTGAACTCGCCTGCTCACCAGTGAGATGCAATATCTTTCAGATCTATTTGTTTCGCAAATTTTCAGTGATGACGTTTTGTGTTGAATTCCGGATGAGAGGGAGAGTTGAAAGTCGTCTGTTTGTCCATCAGATGATAGCCGTTTTGCTGAACGTCTGCACCCCAACGGCTAACGTATCCAAAGTATCTTATACAGGTATCAAGATTACCAATCTTGGCTACCATCTTCCCTTGCTAAGCCTACATTCTCAACGTTATTAAGACTAAGCATCGCCATTGCATGCGTTGAGATGGTCGGAGTTTCATCCTGTTTGCATCCTTCACAACACAAAATCACTATAATTTTCAGAATACTGTTTTATCACACATCTTTCGGACATTTACAACTATTTCAGTACTTGAAGTACGACAAGCCTGGACAACCTTGTGCCTGCATTCTCAAGTAATCAAGGCTGTACACGCTACAGCTTTGAGTCATCGCGACATATCTGGGTTCAAAGTGCTTAATTTTTGATTTTCAAAAACTATTGGTCTGCCCTCCCATCCTGCTCACATCGGATGGAAATTCTGCGATGATATTGGCAACACATAGCGGCAGTAGGAAAAATACGGGGATTTTCAAAAATACCCGACCCCATTTATGAAACATGAGCCAATTTTAATATACTGGTATAATGACCTTGGAGTGACTTTGGAACTAGATTAGACCTAACTCTCACGTCACTCCTTTCTGTGGCTTTCTGAGAGACTCTATCACTTTTGTTGTGATCCATTCCTATCTCTTCTTCTAGGCTGGTTCACAGATAGGATGATCTATTCCTCTGGGTGGAAACTTCATCACCAAAACCACGCTTTGAGCTGTGTATCCGTCACTACATCATTCAAATAAACAGCAATTGCACCCTGCTTTGTCTTCATTCATATGACTGCTTACCAATATCACATATGAGTGGACTTTCCTATTTACATGCAGTCAGGTTCTATATTGAGTCAAGAGTTCCTTTAATTTGTCTTCAAAGCTTTATATAGCATGGCGACTTGTGCCTACAAATACAGGTAGTTTCAGACTTTGGCAAATCTGCACCCATATCTTTTGAGAGAGACAACCTTTGCGATAGAGCAATTTCTGCCCATCAGCATTAGCCTGAACTTCTGTGGGTGACTGTGAAACTTTACAACAAGCCAACTTGGGCAACCAAGGAAAGTGATTTTGCCAAGCTTGCGACGACCAAGCATAACAAACAAATGAAATGTTGGACAATTCAACAGAAGCTTCTAGTTTTTTTAAAAGAGTTGATCTATTCAAGCTTGCTCCAACTTCTTTCACTTGCAACATCATAAAACATCCTACAGTATTCTCAGTTTGTTTCAACTATGTTGCTTTTGCAGCCATCGTTGCTTCGCTAT